AATTTTTTCTTTAAAATTAGTTTTGGACAATTTCATTTTTGTGTATCTTTTTATGATTTTATTCAAATTTTGTGAAAAAGGTTCATTTTTCTTGGAAATATGGTGCTATAATTTCAACTAAATTCAGAAATTTAAATCTTTAAGTATTTATTACCTACCCTTTTCTATTTTGAGAATTCTAATTATATGAATATAAGTTTCTTGATTTTGGTACAGAGTGAAATATTATATGACTGAGGTGTAAATTCTTTCCTCTTCAATTTTATTTTGGACAATTTTTATTATTATATTCATTTTAGTTTTTAAATAAATTATTTCCAAGTGGAATATATTAATCTCATGCTATGTATACATTTCAGAAATATTTCTTTAAAATTCACTTTGTATACATCTTATGTCTTTCACATTTCAATGTTTGTCTATAAGTTTTAATATGCTATATAATTACTGATTTTCAATAAAGTTATTGAGAAAAAAACATAAGCACTCAAATTAATGCAACGGAAACCAAGAAAACCATACAGAGATCAACAAATTGAAGAGTTGGTTCTTTGAAAGATTAAATTAAACTAATAAATTGTTACTTAGCCTACCTTTATATAGAGAGCAAAGATTCAAATTCAAGCAATTAAGAATGAAGAGGTTGAAGTCACAACTGATACTACAAACGTCCAGTGTATTAATACCTACATATAGAATCTCTAGTCTAATAAAATGGAAAGCATGGAAGAAATGTACAGATTCATGAGTATATAGAAATTACAAGAAGCTATGAAAATTCTAAATAAGTCAGTATAATAGCCATTATTAATTTTTTATTCTGGTTTTGAAATTCTGTAGAATATGTATTGTATGTTATGCTTTTTCTCTTAGTTTTTGCTATTTGTTTTTCTTTTTATTCCATTAAATTAAATTAAAAAGACTACAGAAGAGGCAAAAGGTAAAAGAAGTTTCAGTATTTCCACGTAAAATTTAACACTTCAGTTTTCACTTTGTATAGAATAAACATAGAATAAATGGATGCTTGATTTTTGTGTCCTGTTGTTTCAGAGTTCCTGGCTCTCAGGTTGATGAGTGAGGACCAGGAGTGTGCTGGATGGCTGGAGGTTTTCTACAATGGGACCTGGGGCAGTGTCTGCTGCAGCCCCATGGAGGACATGACCTTGTCAGTGATCTGCAAACAGCTTGGTTGTGGGGACAGTGGGACCCTCAGCAGTTTTCTTCCTGGAAGGGAAGGCTCTAGACCCCAGTGGGTGGATGGAATACAATGCCATAAAACTGATTCCTCTCTCTGGGAATATCCTTCTGATGCTTGGACAAACAGATCTTGCCTGCCAAGGGACGCAACTTATATCACATGTGAAGGTGACCTATTGTCTGTTTATATGTATCTGCCTTACCCATGTATATTGCTAATAATGAAATTTCATGTTTTATTGGGCCAGATTTAAATAGGTCTATAAAACTAATTTTAAATATTAGGTCATTAAATCTATATAACCATTTCTTATTTCAATAGCAGAAACAGAGACACATGTGCTGATATCAATTTATGGGAAAAATATAAGGGCAACTGGATTGAGTATGTGAAGAATGAATTAATGCTCTGATAAACATTCTCAGTGATTTAAATATAGATATGGGAGGAACATAGTGCCTTTAAAGTGTTGAGAAAATCCTCTCATGGTCAGAACAGAAAGAAGCTGAGGCAGAGTCTTGTTTGACTCATTTCTTTTTCAAAGAGAATTATCAGTAGTCACTGTGCTCAACTTTTGTGACTCTGGTAATGTTGAATGTATTCCAGTTTAATCTTAGACTTTGCTACTCCTCAGAATCAGTGTGAAAATTAAAACATAGCAATTTCTCTTATAATTATTCTTTTGTATTTTAGGATGGGTCTAAAGAGTGTTCAGGGTCTCACCACTAGATCAGACTCGTAGTGATTCACTTGTTTACAGCCTCACAAGAGCTGAGATTACAGGTGCACACCATCACACCCAGACTCTATTGCCATTGCAGTGTGACACAGGGGAGAGGCCAACACAGCAGGCCTGGGGATCAAACCTCGGTCCCTGCCCCTGCTTGCAGGTGCTTTAATCCACTGAGCTATTTGGTCTGTCTTCTTCTAATTATTCTTGACTTCTCAGTAGCATTCAACAATTTGACACTCTCTGTCTTCCAGTTTTTCTTCTGATCTCTCAACCTTATTAGTTGCTTTCCTTATTCTGTTTTTCTGGGTCAGAACTTTTCTGTCCAACTGCTAGATTGACACCCAGTAAGGGCTGAACCCCGGACTCTCTACTCTCCCAGTCAGATGATGTCTCTGAGTTCCATGGCCTCAGATGTTGTCATCATATCAACAGCTCCCAAATGTATGCCTGCACAATCCATTCCGTTCTGAGTTCCAAACTCTTCCTTCATTGTTGTCTGATATCAACAAGTGACTGTGTAGCTTTAAAAACAGAATGAATGATTCTGCCTGTTTAGTGTCTGCCTCTCACTTTTTCTATCAAGTATACTTTTAATTAGTGTCCCTATTATTCCTCACTGACTTTGGCTCAATTCACTTTTATTTCTCCTTTTCTCTATTTTTTTTTCTAATTTCAATATAACAGGAAGTTCTTCCACCTCTAACTAAAAATATCTCCTCTATCATTCTAGTCCTTCAATCTCACTATTACCTTAGATATTTGGGTTATTTCAGTGGTCTTTAATGACTTCCACTCAAATATTCTTTCTGTCTTATAATATATTACCTACTTGTTGCTGGAAATATACCTCAATTACCAAGTTGATTAATGTGCTGATGTATAACAGGGTGACATTTCTTCAAAGATGACAGTGGCACATGCCATTTTTGTATCCCAGGTGTAAAAGAAATGGAAAGCTATGTCACAGTAGTCTATAACTACCGTATATAGTATCTATGCAAGGGAACATGTGGGCAAGTTATCCTTAGACTTAAAAGGACTTTCTTAGGAAAGAGAGAGGATGGAGCCAGGAAGATGGCTTAGTGGAATAAGCGCTTCCCTGGCAAGCACAAGGGCCTGAGTTTAATCCAGAGCGAGAGAGAGAGAGAGAGAGAGAGAGAGAGAGAGAGAGAGAGAGAGAGAGATGTTCTGTATGTTTCTTTAGCAAATGGTGAAGAGTATAAATGCTTATCTTGCTCTTCCTCTACTAAAAGTCCTCACCTGTTCCATATCCTCAGGGAGTGTACAATAAAGTCTACTGGTGAAAGAGCACTGGAGGAAAGGAGGGGTGGCCAGCCCATGCCTTTTTCTCCCTTCTATGAATTGAGCACACTTCCTATTGCTGGATTGTACCTGCTGAACTCTGCTCTAGAGAGTATATGCACTTTACATCAGTTATATAAAGTTTCAAGAAACAACATTCCCTTTCTATTAGATTTAAATACATATTATGACATCAATTATTGTAAATAAAACAGATAGGAAAAGTGAAAAAACTAAATTCATACAACATCACCTCTTGTCCATTAATAGTATCCTGAGTAACATATAAATAATAATTTTAGAGAAATATCTCAAAATTCAGATATTGATAAAAATGTAGACCTTACTAACACCTTTTTTTTTCAGAATCAGGGATTGAACTCAGGCACGTGCACTTGCCAGGCTAGTGCTTATTCTATTGAGCCATCACCGCAGCCCTATTTCTTTTCATAGTATTATTCCATTTCACAATATTACTGTACATTAATGTAATATTAGATATTTTATCAATTTAAAATGAAAGACTGACTTTTTTAAATAATAAAAATGCAGCTGGGGAAAAAGCAAGTCAAGTCTAACGCCCAAAGAAGGAAGGAAATTGTAAAGACCAGAGCAGTAATTAGCACAATGGAGAGTAAGAAATCAATCCAAAGAATATTGAATCAAAGGCTTGATTCTTTAAGCAAATAAAATAAAAAACCCTATCCATTTTTATATTGACATTTATATACAAAATGTGTCAATTTTTGTTCACAGTACCCATTAGAATAAAGCACATGCACACACAGGATTTTCTTCTGACTTTTCAATCTTCTTTTGCTTTTTCATTCTTAACTCTTTCATTTCCTTATCATTTTTATTACTCCTCTCTCTGTCTCTCTCTTAGTTCATGTCTCACTTTCTGTGAATCTATGTCCACCTCTCTTTCACACACAAATGAACAGAATGTGCGTGTGCCCGTGCAAGTGTACACACACACACACACACACACACACACACACACATACACTATTCTGTTCTACCTTGAGTAACGTGCTAAAACTCTGAAGATCACAGTAGCGGAGAATTTAAAGTAAATATTTCAAAATTTTTTATATTCTCTATTGACTCTTTTTCCTTAGTATTTCTTTTTCACATGCAAGATGAAGGTTACTAAAGTAACAGATCACGTCTTGTGTCTTAGTTACTTTCTTTTGTTTCTGAGACAAAATATCTGACACCCAAAGTCAAAAAAGGAATGTTCTTTTAGTTCAGAGTTCCTAAAGGTTTCAGTCCTATGTAGACTGGCTCCAAGGCAGGGTAGTATATGGGGGAGAGGCAATAATTCATGGTGGAAGGGAACAGAAAAATTAAGAGCAAAAGAGGCAAACAAGCCTCTTCCTGTCCTTTATATTGCTTTCATTCTACTGGGATTAGAGTGATCTAACCCAATCAGTGGATTGATTCATCATTCAACAAGCCTTATTCCTAGAGCCATTAATTCCAGCATTGAATTATTAATCAGTTACAAAGTAAATTCAACTGACTTCACAAAGATCCCCCCCTCCATGACTGCATCAAGGTTTGGGAGGACATTCAGACACAAACCAGAGCATCATGGTCATATTTTTTAAAAAGAAGACATGAAGGGTTCCAACAACTCAGGTTCCTTCCCATTAGTGCTCACAAAGTATGCTTTTCTGGGAGGGACAGGCTGAGACTTCAGTTGAGCCCAGGTACCTTTCTCTTTGGCCTCCTTTTTCTGATCACTTTTTGACGTTTCAGGAAGCTATAATGTCTTTTTGAGTGTTTAATATGCTCAATACACACGTTAACGCTCTTGGCAAGTGTACTGCCCTTGACTTGCTTATTTATAGCAATGCCAATAGCTTGCTGTGTAATATTGTAGACCCTTCCTGTTTTGCTATAGTAACATTTGTGAGGAATTCCTTTTTGCACAGTACCCATTTCCTTGATATCTATATTATCACCCTTTTTGTAGATTCACATGTATGTGGCCAAAGGAACAACCCCATGTTTTCTGTATGGCCTGGAGAACATATATTGGGTTCCCCTCCTCTTGCTCTTTGTATTAGTCATTTTGGCAAATTACTGCAAGATGGCAGTTCTGGCCAAAAGGAACCTATTCCCTATGAATTGTTAGCATAAACAGGAAATGTTGCTCTGCCATTCAACACCTAATTGGTAGATTAAGTGTTCTAGGTCATATGTAAAAATA